GCCAAGTTGATTGGGGCATAGCACGCAGAAGTACACTTATCTGTTGCTTGGCACTAAGTTGCACTTTGAAGAAATGGGAACACCATAACAAGAGGTGGTGGAGAACATCATGGAGATAGAAGATCAACACCAGAGTTGTAATGGGACGAGAAGGAGTATGGTAAGGTAATATTCTCAATTTATTGCATATTATTTTTTAAAACAAGACACCAAATGCATTTTTTTCCGTTGCAAAGAATGTCATGTTACATATCATTAGGTTTATGTTTTGTTATTTGATTTTGAATCTGTCTCATTTTCTTTAGAGGTGAAGCTAGAGCCAACCTCATCATCATAACCGAAGAAGCATAACTCAGTGACTATGAGAACAAGGAGAACTTAAAAGAAAACCTCAAATAGAGGACCTCAACACATTGTTGCCCAAACTTTTACTTTTACTTTCTTATACTCTCTGATTTAAATTTTAATTGTCTTCTTTGAGCCGTGAGATTAATGATGTTGCATAAATGGTTAGACAAGGACCCTAATATTTATGACTAGTCTACTTTGTATAGATCATATAATCTATTTTATATAACCTGCAATAATTTTTCAGCCCAGCTTGCATCTCGCTTTGATTGGTTTTTTCTCTCTCCTATTTTACTTGTCTAATTATTGTTTTTTTTTCTTTTTGAAAAGTTCATTTGCGGACCTTCTGAAATGAAAAAGGGCCATAGTATTCTAGGTTGATTCCTTGAGTTACTCTGGCTTGCCAATAATTGGAGTAAATCTTAAGATGAATATTATTTTTAAAATTTTGAGTCGAGATCTAACATATGTATTATTTTAGATAATAAATGATTTTTTTTGTAGATTATGACAATGATCTAATTTTTTTATTATTTTCTGACTGTGGTCAACCTCATAAATATTATTTCAGACAATAGAACTTGGATGAATAGGATGAGTGGGAGGGAATAGTGACCACTAGTTTGATTGTAATACTTCATTGTATTTGTCTTAATGTCTACGCGTGCATGCATGTACTAACTCTTGTATGTAACTTGGATTCAATGTTCTTTATTAGACTTGGGCTAAAACTACCTTTGCATGTGCATCTTAAGAGATGACCTGAAACAGTTGTTGACTGGGATGCTTTTTTCAATCCACGAGTTTTGATTGCTCACACCCATGCAAGTAATAATATGTTTTGATAATCATTTTCTTGATCTGAGAATCCAACTAACAAAAGATAAAAATGATAGCATGATCTAGAATGTGTTGTGAGAAATAATGAAGAGCAGGTGTGTAATTTAATGTCTAAACAAGCAATAAATAAATAAATAACTTCATTCTATCTATTCATTTTTTTTACTTTTTTCAAGTTACTCTTTGTTTTGCAGAGGAAAAATGCCTCAGGGACCCCAAAATAGGAGACACTGAGTGGAACATGTGAGGTGTCGTCTCCCTGTCCCGTGATGCACTGTTCATAAACAGTGCATCACGGGACAGGGAGGCGACACCTCATTTTTCCCATACAGGGTCCTCTATTTTGGGGTCCCTGTAGCAACACTCTTTGCAGAGGATTCAATTTGTGAAGTTTATGTAGTTGAGCATTTAATCTGCTTAATTTTTATGATCTTAATATATTTTTTTGAGTGCTGCTAATGATCTATGAAGGAATACTTCTTTTCACCATGAGTTAAATGATAGAATGTGAAGAGTTCAAAATGCTAAACCAATGTTTTGTAAGATAAGATCAAGAAAGCAATGTTTAGAACGAACACAAAGGCTTGAGCAAACATGCGTTTGTCCATGAAGCTTAACTTCGTTTTTTATTCGTATTGATTGTAGAAACGACATTTTACTAAAGTATACTAGTTATAAAATGAAATATTTATAGAAATTAAACTGTTTAAACACTATATTATATATGTCAATGCCGACATCTAATATATATTGTATTATTAATAAATTTAGTAGTCAAATTTTGTTCAATTATATAGGTACATTAAAATATTTTTATGTTAGTTCAATATATTTCATATTCCTTATAAAAATTTATTAATATAATATTCATGAAAATGTTCAAAAAAGAAATTTAAAATATAAAACAAGTATGCTCACATGCAACGCACATGCATTATACTAGTGTGTGTGTATATATCAATTTAGTAGCGGACAAATTTTGAAATATAGCATTAAAACATTGGGCTGACTTTTAAAACTGCAAGCTATCACAATAATAAAAATAAATATAAATATAAAATGAATATAGCTAGAAATGACAGAAATGATAACTGTCAACAGACCAAATATACTATCACGGAATTGCGAAGAGACTCCCTACAGTTATATATGTTGCTAAAAGACAATCAGTAGTTCCACTTGTTGTGAATAGACCATTAAACATCTTTATATACGGTACACCTCCCAAATCACTCGATCAGTCCACAGAGCGGTCCGACCATCAAACATCCTCATACGGGTGCACCCGGCGGTCCGACCGTCTAACGGTTTGAGCCGGTTCGACCTCCTAGTCTGCTGTCGGTCCTAGTCACGTCCGTTTCGATGCTGAAAACACATCTTCTGATGGAGCTCCCCTTGCAAACAACACCATAAAACTTCAAATTCCAGCCTAACACATATTAAAACCACAGTTTATAAAGCTGAGATCTCAATTATGGTGACAGCTTTGAGGTTACAACACACTAGATGATATTAATATTGTTAAGTACTTTTCTGCGTATGATCCGAATATGTCTTTGATTGCTAGCGATGGAACCTTTAGTCTTCGAATGCCAAAATAAACACGAACCTACTTGAAAGAGACTTATGCTTTAATTTAATAAAGAATGTTGCTTGCTCAAAAACTAATGAGAATGATCTTTCTACGTCGTCCTTTTCTCACGGGTGGTAGAAAACACCCCCATTTCCTGTAGTTTCTAGAAAGAAGAAGAGCTGTTCCGTTACGGAGTTGGACTGCGACTTTATAGAAATCTGAATGGGCTTTTTCAGCCTCATTTTTTGACCTCCGGGAAAATAAACAAGAAAAGAAAAGAAGAGAAAATAACACATTGAATGGTTATCGTATAGGACTATGAAAATTGAGGGGATTTTATAACAATTATCATATAAGACTATTAAAGCTTTCTTTCTATCTCCTAAAAAAAATCTACGAATTAGATTTTCTTAATTATGGATCACATGATAAAAAAATCTACGAATTAAATTCACTTAATCATGGGTCACATCATCGAATAATTGTCACATCACTTTTCAATAAGGTTTCACTGTAAGAACCAAACAAAGAAAGGAAAACCATTATCGAAAATAAATTTCCTATACTTGCTTTCTTTGATATTTTGGGCAACCAAAAAACCCCTTATGTTGTGCTTGCCATTTCATTGTGGTCGGAAAAGATAAGGGTCTGTTTCGTTATTTTCCAAATAAAAATAGAATAGGGATACAATGTAAATCTAGTCTTCAAAGCATTTAAGTTCGTTTCCTGAAAAAGGTTTTCTTTTGTTATGTTTCGCACAGAAAATGGAAGATGGAAATCTCTACCAACACAATTACTTCCTTTGGATCAAACTTGAAAAAAGGGAAAGAAAAGGCATAAAAAAAATTGTAAAAACTTCTCAAATATTCAAGTCAGGTCACTTTCACCCAATTTTTAAATTATTTTTCTATGTGCTTTCCTTCCAATTCCTTCTTGAAAACTCGGATTTGCTTTTTCCATTTTTGATGTTTTCTGACGTTTTTTGGAAAGGTTTCTAGAAAGTTTTCCAGAGTATTAAACAACTGAATAGGAATTCTATTTTGTAAATCTGACACAGAAAAACGGTGTCACTAGGTCTCCACGCGTTTTCCACACTTTTTCTTCGAACCAATCAGGCCCAAAGAGAAAATATGAGAGAGAGTGTTATGTTTCGCACAGAAAATGGAAGATGGAAATCTCTACCAACACAATTACTTCCTTTGGATCAAACTTGAAAAAAGGGAAAGAAAAGGCATAAAAAAAATTGTAAAAACTTCTCAAATATTCAAGTCAGGTCACTTTCACCCAATTTTTAAATTATTTTTCTATGTGCTTTCCTTCCAATTCCTTCTTGAAAACTCGGATTTGCTTTTTCCATTTTTGATGTTTTCTGACGTTTTTTGGAAAGGTTTCTAGAAAGTTTTCCAGAGTATTAAACAACTGAATAGGAATTCTATTTTGTAAATCTGACACAGAAAAACGGTGTCACTAGGTCTCCACGCGTTTTCCACACTTTTTCTTCGAACCAATCAGGCCCAAAGAGAAAATATGAGAGAGAGGAGATGAGAAGGTAAGGGAATTTCCTTCTGCTCGATTCCACCCAAATTTGAAAGGTAACAAATTTCTATCGAATGGAGGGGAATTTAACTAAATGAGGGATGTCACTTCCTTAAAAAACACATCCAAATAGAAATGGATTTGGATTCTCTACATCTTTAATTGTGAAGAATCTTTACAATTGGTTATGTGAAAAAATAATATTAAATTACGCACCGGCTCCTAGAAACAACAAAAGGATCTCTACACCTTAGATGCAAAATAAAAAGAGAATGAGGAAGGAAACCATTAAAAAGTTTTACACCCATATCTTAAGAAAACTCATGAAATATGTTTTTTTAAAATACGAGTCACATCATCCAATAACAAAGTGTCACGTCACTTTTTTATTTGGTTTGACAGTGAGACCCAAACAAAAGAAAACGAAATAATCGCAGGAAAATAGATTTTCTGTAATTGCCTTCTTTAATTTTTTTGGGCAACCAAACATCCCCTAGGTTGGTACACGTACGCACGTGTTCCCCAACTTTCCTTGGTCTAATTAGCTCTCACGTTATTTATCTATTTCGTTGTCACGGCAATAAATTATGAAAGCCCCTGTCGTCCGACTCAAACACGGGTCCATGAAATTACAGTTAGAATTATTACTAAAAACAATTCCGCAAAAAGAAATATCGTCTCTATCTCTTGTACGTAACTACTCCTCGTGCTCGTTCGACAAACACGCTAACAATAGAAAGAGAAGAAGAAACAGGTCTGGCGCTCGTTAATCTATTTTGTCCCATATTTTCAGGATCTGCCATTGTTTGTTTTCCAGAGTGAGGGAGAAAAGAGAAAAGATGAAATGGGAAGATATAGACAGGAACCTAGCGAAGATGTTCGAAGGGGCGAACCTCAGCGACTGCCGCGAGCGACGAAAGCTGCGTGAGGCTTTCAAAGATGTGCAACTCAGTCTCGATCACTGCCTCTTCAAGGTCCTTTTCTTTCCTTTTTGATCCTTGGTTTTTTTTTCCTTCTTCCTTTGGTATTTGATTTTTATTTGTTTGTTGATGATTGCATTGAGAACTGTTCATTGATAAATATTGGAGCGAAGAGTTTGCTCGAGTTTTGCTAATGTACTACCTTTATTTGTGTCGAGAGGGGCCGGGGTTATCCGCAATTAATGTTTTTTTTATGTGGATAGAATTTGTGAATCTCTTTTTTTTGGCTCTCCATGGACCATATAAGATTGATATGGTTTCTGATAGAATTTGGAAGCTAGATGGAAGATTATTTGATGTTACAAAATTATTCAAGTATTTCTATCCCCTCCTAGATTTGTAATCCTCTTTGTGTTGCCGAAACTGTACAGACTTTTGTGTTAGGGATTTTAGGCTTCCCGCATACTACGATCACCACAACTTTAAAGCCAATCCATAGTCAATAAGATAGAAAATAACCACAATTAAGAAGAAAGAACGATGAGATTTAAGTGGTTTGGTCGACCAACTTCGACCTATATCCACGGGCAACAATATGAGAAATCCACCATGTATTAGGGAGAACTACAAACGGAACCCCTCGACTCTCGTCTTTCAATCACTGAACTCACATACATAATCAACTCTTTGTTGAAAAGTAAACTTGATTTTGGATTAAGTTTAATTATTGGATCAATGATCCAATTATCACTTGTTGGGCCAAAACCCAATACTTGATCCAAGTTCTAGAGTTTTCTCTAGAAATATCTAAACATCTCCACCTCCTTAAAATGTTCTAGAAAATTATAGAGAATGAATATCTAGATATTTCTCTAGATAATTGTAATATAAAATTCTAGATATTATGCTAGAACTCTCTAGATTTAGGATTAAAATATTCTAGATATTTTGTACTTTGGAGGCTATAAATATCTTCCCTTCCCTCTCATTTGTAATCAAGAAGTTCCAAGTTGTTCTAAGGTGTTCAAAAGAAATAAAAATCTTCTTCTTCCTAAATTTTCTATTGTCTCCCGAATTCTTAAACACTTTCTCTATCACCTCCAAATATTTCTTCCCAACAAAGTGGTATCAGAGCTAGAAGATTCCCTTGAAGATGGCGAGTAACGGTGTTCCCTTTCAAGTCCTGATGCTCACAAAGAGCAACTACGACAATTGGAGTCTAAGAATGACGGCTATCCTAGGAGCACATGACGTGTGGGAGATAGTCAAGAAAGGCTTCATTGAACCGGAGAATGATGGTAGTCTATCTCAAACTCAAAAGGATAGTTTGAGAGACTCAAGGAAGAGAGACAAGAAGGCTCTCTGTCTAATCTATCAAGGTCTAGATGAAGATACATTCGAGAAGATCGCGGGAGCAAAGACGGCCAAAGAAGCATGGGAGAAGCTTCGAACTTCTTACAAGGGAGTAGATCAAGTCAAGAAGGTACGTCTTCAAACTCTAAGAGGAGAATTTGAAGCGTTACAAATGAAGGAAGGTGAACTCGTCTCCGATTACTTCTCAAGAGTTTTAACGGATACTAATAACCTAAAGAGAAATGGCGAGAAGTTAGATGAGGTGAGAATCATGGAGAAGGTTCTTAGATCGTTGGATCCAAAATTCGAGCATATTGTCACTGTCATTGAAGAAACATAGGATTTGGAGGTTATGACGATGGAGCAACTTCTTGGGTCGTTACAAGCTTATGAAGAAAAGAAGAAGAAGAAGGAAGATATTGCAGAACAAGTACTCAAGATGCGGATTGATCAAACTAAAGAAGAAAGCGGACGAAGTTATCAAAGACGAGGTGGCGGTCAAGTCCGAGGACGAGGTCGTGGATATGGAAATGGACGAGGTTGGAGGCCTCATGATGACAACACCAACCAAAGAGGAGAAAGCTCATCAAGAGGTCGTGGGAGAGGAAATCAAAAACCAAGGTACGATAAGTCAAGCGTTAAATGCTATAATTGTGGAAAGTTTGGACACTATGCTTCCGAATGCAAAGCTCCGAACAATAATAGAGTTGAAGAGAAGTCCAATTATGTTGAAGAAAGAAGCCAAGAAGATGATATGCTATTGATGACTTACAAGAAAGATGAACAAGATGAGGTTCACAAGTGGTACCTCGATAGCGGTGCAAGCAATCACATGTGCGGGAAAAAAAGCATGTTCGTGGAGCTTGATGAATCGGTGAAAGGAAATGTGGCTTTGGGAGATGAATCGAAGATGGAGGTGAAAGGTAAAGGAAATATTCTCATCCGATTGAAGAATGGAGATCATCAATTTATTTCCAACGTTTACTATATCCCAAGCATGAAGACCAATATATTGAGCCTTGGACAACTCATAGAGAAAGGTTATGATATTCGATTAAAGGATAATAACATTTCTATAAGAGACCAAGAAAACAATCTCATTACCAAGGTGCCGATGTCAAAGAATAGAATGTTTGTTCTTAACATTCAAAATAACATCGCACAATGTCTCAAGATGTGCTACAGGGAGGAGTCCTGGCTTTGGCATCTTCAATTCGGGTATCTCAACTTTGGAGGATTAGAGCTACTTTCTAAAAAGGAGATGGTGAGAGGATTGCCTTGCATCAACCATCCAAATCAAGTGTGTGAAGGGTGTCTACTTGGAAAGCAATTCAAAATGAGCTTTCCAAAGGAGTCAGACAGAAGAGCGCGGAAGCCATTGGAACTCATACATACAGATGTATGTGGCCCGATCAAACCAAGATCACTCGATAAAAGTAACTACTTTCTTCTCTTTATTGATGATTTTTCAAGAAAAACATGGGTTTACTTTTTGAAGTAAAAATCAGAAGTGTTTGAAAACTTCAAAAAGTTCAAAGCCCATGTCGAGAAGGAAAGTGGCCTTGTGATCAAAGCCATGAGATCCGACCGTGGAGGAGAACTCACATCCAAGGAATTTGAGAAGTATTGTGAATATAACGGTATTCGAAGACAATTGACGGTGCCGAGGTCCCCTCAACAAAATGGAGTTGCGGAAAGGAAGAACCGGATAATCCTTGAAATGGCGAGGAGCATGCTCAAAAGTAAGAAACTACCAAAAGAGTTGTGGGCAGAAGCAGTTGCATGCACGGTTTATCTATCAAATCGATCTCCAACAAGAAGTGTTTCGGGAAAAACACCACAAGAAGCTTGGAGCAGAAGGAAGTCCGGTGTTTCTCATCTAAGAGTCTTTGGAAGCCTTGCTCACGCTCATGTATCGGATGAGAAGCGGAGCAAACTAGATGACAAAAGTGAGAAGTACATCTTTATTGGTTACGATGCCAACTCCAAAGGCTACAAGCTCTACAATCCTGATACAAAGAAGACAATCATCAGTCGAAATGTCATCTTTGATGAAGAAGGAGAATGGGATTGGAGATCAAATGATGAAGACTACAACTTCTTTCCACATGTTGAAGAAGATGAATTGGAGAAACCAAGAGAGGAGCCTGTTACCCCACCAACTTCACCAACAACGAGTTCTCAAGAAGATGAAAGTTCGAGCGACAGGACTCCACGTTTCAGAAGTCTGCAAGAACTTTACGAGGTAACTGAAAATCAAGATAATCTTACTTTATTTTGTCTATTTGCGGATTGCGAGCCCATGAATTTCGAAGAAGCTATGGAGAAGAAGACATGGAGAAATGCAATGGATGAAGAGATCAAGGCGATACAAAAGAATGAGACATGGGAGTTAGCTTCACTTCCAAATGGGCATAAGGCGATCGATGTGAAGTGGGTGTACAAAGCAAAGAAGAACTCTAAAGGAGAAGTTGAAAGATACAAGGCAAGATTGGTGGCAAAAGGTTATAGCCAAAGAGCGAGAATCGACTATGACGAGGTATTCGCTCCTGTTGCTCGTCTAGAAACTGTTAGATTAATCATTTCATTGGCAGCTCAAAACAATTGGAGGATACATCAAATGGATGTCAAATCAACCTTCTTAAATGGAGGTCTTGAAGAAGAAGTTTACATTGAGCAACCACAAGGCTACATAATCAAGGGAGAAGAAGACAAAGTCTTGAGGTTAAAGAAGGCGCTTTATGGGTTAAAACAAGCACCAAGAGCTTGGAACACTCGAATTGATAAGTACTTCAAGGAGAAAAGTTTCATCAAGTGTCCATATGAGCATGCACTCTATATCAAAACTCAAAATAATGATATATTGATTGGATGCTTGTATGTAGATGACTTGATATTCACAGGCAACAATCCAAGTATGTTCGAGGAATTCAAGATGGAGATGACGAAGGAGTTCGAGATGACCGATATTGGATTGATGTCTTACTACCTTGGAATTGAAGTGAGACAAGAAGATAATGGAATTTTCATTACTCAAGAAGGCTATGCTAAAGAGGTTCTTAAGAAGTTCAAGATGGATGACTCGAATCCAGTAAGCACGCCAATGGAATGTGGAGCCAAATTGTCAAAGCAAGAAGAAGGAGAGAGTGTAGATCCAACACTATTTAAGAGCTTGGTTGGAAGCCTACGCTACTTAACGTGCACAAGACCTGACATCCTATATGCAGTCGGAGTTGTGAGCCGATACATGGAGCATCCAACAACAACTCATTTCAAGGCAGCTAAAAGGATACTTCGCTATATCAAAGGTACCATAAACTTTGGCTTGTATTACTCTGTTTCTGACGATTACAAGCTTGTTGGATTTAGCGATAGCGACTGGGGTGGAGACGTAGATGACCGAAAAAGCACAAGCGGATTCGTGTTCTTCATTGGAGATATATCTTTCACATGGATGTCAAAGAAGCAACCAATTATCACCCTTTCTACTTGTGAAGCGGAGTACGTAGCGGCTACTTCATATGTTTGCCATGCTGTTTGGTTACGAAACCTGTTAAAGGAGTTGAGTTTGCCACAAAAGGAGCCAACGAAGATCTTAGTGGATAATAAGTCAGCAATAGCTTTGGCAAAGAACCCAGTCTTTCATGATCGAAGTAAGCACATTGACACTCGTTATCACTACATTAGAGTGTGTGTTACCAAGAGGGACGTTCAATTGGAGTACGTGAAGACGAATGATCAAGTAGCTGATATCTTCACCAAGCCTCTCAAGCGCGAAAATTTTATCAAGATGAGGAGTTTGCTTGGAGTAGCAAAATCAAGTTTAAGAGGGGGTGTTGAAAAGTAAACTTGATTTTGGATCAAGTTTAATTATTGGATCAATGATCCAATTATCACTTGTTGGGCCAAAACCCAATACTTGTTCCAAGTTCTAGAGTTTTCTTTAGAAATATCTAAACATCTCCACCTCCTTAAAATGTTCTAGAAAATTATAGAGAATGAATATCTAGATATTTCTCTAGATAATTGTAATATAAAATTCTAGATATTATGCTAGAACTCTCTAGATTTAGGATTAAAATATTCTCGATATTTTGTACTTTGGAGGTTATAAATACCTCCCCTTCCCTCTCATTTGTAATCAAGAAGTTCCAAGTTGTTCTAAGGTGTTCAAAAGAAATAAAAATCTTCTTCTTCCTAAATTTTCTATTGTCTCCCGAATTCTTAAACACTTTCTCCATCACCTCCAAATATTTCTTCCCAACACTCTTATATTCTCTCCAAAACTCACTCTTTATAATCTTTTGAACGGACAAAGACTGCGAAACTCTCGCCTCTCGCATAATATTATTGAATCAGGCTACGCCCTTTGCTAATCCTAGATTACAAAAATATTGGTCTTCTCGTCTCCTTAGTTTTTCCTTCAATAATAGAAGAATATATATAGTGAAACCAAAACTCTACCCCTAACCAAACTTCCTAATTAGAATAGGATACAAATTCCTAATCATGATGATACTTAATCTCCTAATCATGATAGATCTCTAACTCTATCTAATTCTCATGAAGTTATATAAAGAATCAAAGACACAATCCTAACATTTTCAGCAGGCAATGCCAGCTGTTTCAGTTGTTGAAAAAATTCTAGCTCAATTTCCTTGCCCGCGATGACCTCTACGATAAACTGATAAGAAATCTCATTGTGCTCGGTTCTAGCATTTAAGATGAAATGTTTGGTCATGGCTATCGCCGACTCTATTGAAGTGGAGAGTTGTTGATGGCTCTGTTCTTGTTGTGGAACAGATAAAATTCTTCAGAGTAGTTATGTTTTCCATGCAGCAGACATAGCTGATATATTTTCTACTTACATAGATGATAGGGTTAATCTATTGCTGCTTTTTCGAGGACTAGGATATTACTTTGCTCTAAGAGGAGGACATGCACATCCCGCATCTACTTATATGCACCTACAAACTTCTCAAGAATTTTAGATTTTTCCTAATACTTCTTAAGTTTTGGAGATCTCTATAAACTTCTTATTCTCAATGATCTTAATTGTTCCATAACATATTTTTTCATGAAAGACATAGTTGATCCATTTTCTTTTAGTAAAGGAAAAAATGTAAAAAAATTTAGGTACATGTTGCCTAACATTTGTTGCTACCTCTTCTTTACAGTTGCCAGACGTTGGGATAAAGATGAAGGAGGTAAAGAATTATCTTTCGCTTTACTTTGCTCAAAGCATAGACAGAAGTTTGACAATGTGGCGATTGAACATTTTAATTGTTTTTTTTAGACAATGCTACATTTTCTTGCATAGATATCAATTTTAACATTTTCTTATGTAAGGCAGTCCTATGAGGTGAACACTCGAGGATTGGAGATTTATTCGAAAAGTTGGCTTCCTGAGAATTCTTCAATAAAGGCTATAATTTGTCTTTGTCATGGATACGGTGATACTTGTTCGTTTTTCTTTGAAGGTAGTCGATCCTTTACTGTTGGTTTTTTTTTTCTTGAAATTGAAAAATTAATTGTTATGCAGTTATATTTATGAAATATGTGCATAATAGGAATTGCAAAAAAATTGACATCTGAGGGATATGGAGTGTTTGCATTGGATTACCCTGGATTTGGTCTTTCAGAAGGCCTTCACGGCTACATACCTAGTTTTGATGATCTTGTTGGTGATGTAGTTGAGCATTTCACAAAAATAAAAGGTAATATTTTCGACCTAAATTCATCTACAACAAATTCTCAGTATTTAACATCGACATCTTTTCTTTATAAAAAAAATATAAAGCAAGCAACTTTTGCTCATCATTCTCTTTTTCGAGTTCATTCATTTGAAATAAGGTATTATCTGCAGCAACATTTGTTTCAACTTTAGACGTTATGGATTTGTAGTGACTGATTCAATGCATCTAGACTTTATGTAGTATTGCTGCAGTTTACCCAGAATGTTGGAACATTTGCAATCATGATATCTTATTAGCTTATATGCTGTACTTTTTTATTAATCAGCCATATATATTCGAACAAATAACCTCAACAATTTTCAGGGTCCTAATTGGGATCTTGATGGCCACCTTATCATGTTAAACTACAGCAAGAATCAATCACCTTCCATGCCTTTTTGCTAAACAATTAATGCCCAAATTAAAGAGGGTGGAATCATCCCAACTTTTTACTTACAAAACTTTCTTTTTCCCCATATATATAAATATTTTTCCAGAAAAACCTGAATATAAAGGCCTTCCGAGTTTCCTATTCGGAGAATCCATGGGCGGAGCAGTTGCTTTAAAGGTTCATCTCAAGCAGCCCGAGGCATGGGATGGTGCAGTTCTTGCTGCACCAATGTGTAAGGTTATCTTTCACCTCTGGACTTCAATTAAGGGTTTTCGATAGCAATCATCCTAGTCTCTCTGTTTTTTTTAACTAAACATACTTTTTTTTTCATTAGATATCAGATGATGTTGTTCCATCTTGGGCAGTACAACAATTTCTTATCGGTATGGCGAAGTTTCTTCCTAAAAGAAAATTAGTTCCTCTAGCGGACTTGGCAGAAAAGGCATTCAAGGATTTAGAAAAGAGAGAGATGGTCAGTTTTTGGTGGACATTCTGATTGTGTTTGTCAAAAAAAAAGTATACAATTGGTTTACATTCTCTAATAGATCATAATGTTTGCTGTTTCTGCAGTGCAAGTTTAATGTAATTTGTTACAGAGATAAACCGCGCCTAAGGACAGCAGTCGAGCTCCTAAGAGTAACGCGAGAAATTGAAAGCCGATTAGAAGAAGTATGAGCTTCTAATTGTTCTTATTATTTCAGCTAACTGAAGAAAGTACATGAATATGACGACCGATAATGAAAAAGTTCTTATAAATTCGATTTGTTTTTTTTTTTTTGGTGGTGTTCATAATTTTCCAGGTTTCTCTCCCTCTGTTAATTTTACACGGTGACGCGGATGTTGTAACCGATCCTTCAGTGAGCAAGGCTTTGTACGAGAAGGCATGCAGCTCGGACAAGAAGCTCTGCTTGTATGAAGATGGGTATCATTCTCTTCTTGAAGGAGAATCGGACGAGATTATATTCAAAGTTTTCGGTGACATTATCGGTTGGCTTGATGTACATAGTGAAAAAATAATATCGTCGTCATGAATTTTCCCTCTGACACATGCAAAATTTTGTTTTTATATTCTTGTTTTGAGCTTTGAAGTTAGCTCAGAAAGCCATCTTATTGGTTGGAAGTAATAGAAGGAAGATGAGAAATGTTGTACTCTTAGTATGAGAAGTGAAGATGCATGTATCCTTGGTGAACAATATTGGTAAGCTTAATTTTAAATACAAGGTTAATGGCAGAATGCGGATAGACTTGTTCGCCAAATGGAACTTGCTACCCCTATTGTTCTATTGTTGCACACAGACTCCCTAGTAACTGAAAACTATTCAGATAGATCCTCTCAAAAGGGTAAAACGATTTCGATTAGGGGGTCTATCCGCAACAATAAAGCTACGCGATAATAATGTGATGGTTGTACAGGGTCTATCCGTAATTAACCCTTAAATATCTATTATAAGGTTATAAAAGATAACAAAGTGAAAATTCATGATTAAGATCGAATCCTCGATGATGTTGAAAAGAGGAGAAATAGCAATTAGAGGCGTTTGATCCCCTGCTTCATAAGATGAAGAGTGAGAACTGAGAAGATAATGTAGATCAAGGGAAGAAATAATTAGTGGAAACGTTACGTGATTGAGCACCGTAAATCTTGTCAGAGTCGACCATGTGTGAGCGGGACAGTTTTGAACCACACAATGAGTAGTTAGATATTCATTTTGCCCTCTATGGTGTCCATTGAAAAGCTCAGAACTGACCACTATTATGTAGTCAGCTCTGTTAAAAAAGGACGTCAAGATTGAGACTTACTAGTTAGGGCCCATAGCAAGTCAAGGCCTTAATATCAGGTCCTAAAAGAATATAGGCCCACCATAGAATGGAGTCACATAATGTTGTCAAGTACGGACAGCATTAAGTTGGGATTATTAATATTAAGCCCATTCTTAAGAAGGAAACACGTAACCCCAAATAGGAAATATAAAACTTAGGTTCACTTTATTAGAAGGAAACACAAAAAAAAACCTAATATTTGGACAAGGCGGAAATTAGCAACTTTAATGTCAAAAGCCAAAATAAACTACTAGGCTGCATTATCAAGAAAATATTAAAAAAAAAAGGAAAAACATTTTTTGTGCCCAAAAATGGGACAGGTCCCGGGAATCACTGATGTGTAAATTCTCCATTTTACATTTATTATTATTTTCAATTTTCCAGGTTTGACAGATGAATAAAGTAAGTGGGGGTAGTTTCGGATTTTTTTTCAGAGTTCCTTTTTTCTTCTTGATGTTTCTCTATCCTCCTTTCCTAAACCTCTTCTCTTCTCACCCATCTTCATTTCTTTGCTAAAGCACAGGACAACTGAACTCTGACTGAATTTTAGGGCCCCAGTTGAGATCACACACAGACCAGGCTGATTTTTAGATTGACGTCACGACCAGAATGGGTTTAAATTAATTAAGTCAATCCAAATTTTAAGGACAACGTAACAAAAGGAGAAACATTGTTTGCGACAATAATAAAGAAAGGTGAAAACTTCTTCGTCGACGAGAAATTGGAGAAGAGGGCAAAAAATATAAACGGTTGAGTTACTTGATGAGTTGACAAAGGTCTTCAAAGGACTCGGGAGCAAGGGGATGAAGGTTTTATTAGCATTTTGGGCAGCCACTGGGAATTTTTTTTCTGGGGGTACAAAAGTACCCTTATTACACAATTAATTAACATTGTTTGTAACAAGCTTTTAATTGCTAGATAGACATGTCACTTCTGCTGTTCCTTAAAATTAAGTGCCTCATTTTTAGCTTTTAAGTCCCGTATTTGGTACGGTTGGTACATGAATTGGTTGGAATGGAATTGTGTACCATTGCCAGCCCTATTTTTAAGTCTCGTGAGGGTAGGCATTGGGGATTTGCACAAGGAGAACTTGGCGGGTTTGTCCCGCTAGCACCCTAGGTCAAATCCCTTCATCGGCATTCAGCTGTCATTGTTGGTGGTTCTAATAGGTTGTTGGCAAGGACCGGAGTTTTACTTAATTGATTCCCTCAGACCATTGAGCACCGGGTCTACTCCGTTTTCCGTCACAAAAGAAAAGGGCCCTTGGTATTAAGGCGATGAGGGATGAGAGATATTTCCTTCAATTTGTTAAAGCAGAGGGTGTCATTTTGACAAAGACTAGGGGTAATTCCATCATTCCGAGCAATCACTACTCAAATGGGGCTCACCACCACTCTCTCTCCCACTCTCCCGAACTTTTTCAGTTTTTCACCCACAACTTCTTATTTCTTTAGAACTTCTTCATTAATATTTTCTTCAATAAGAAATGAAATATTTTTGAAACCTCTCTCTTGTTAACGAAATCAAGCAAAAAGAAAATACTTGGTCCTCATTACATACAAATTAGGGGTGTCCAAAAAGCCCACAATCCGGATCCGGCCCGGGGTCGGCTCGGAAACCCAGGCCAAAACCGGGCCCGGTCATCGGCGACCGGCCCGGGCACCGGGCCGGCCCGGATTTTTTTGTTTTTTTATTTTTTTATTTTTTTAAAAATTTTAAAAAACAATAAAACATAAAAATTATATTTATATAATAGTATATATATATTTATACTCTTATATAAATATAATTATATATGTACATATAAGTTTATGTTTATATATATGTATAGATATATAAATATATATTTATACTCTTATATGTATTTATACTATTATATAAATATACTTATATATGTACATATAAGTTTATGTTTATATATGTGTGTATATATAAATATACTTATATATGTATAATATATGTGTATATATATTTATACTCTTATATAAATTTATATATAATTTATATTTTTTATATATATGTTTATGTATAATACAATTTGTTTATGTAATTTCTATAAGTACTTACAATTTGTTTATGTATAATATATGAATGACATGAATATTTTGGGCTATTTAGTCTAGTGGTAAACTTTAGGAGTTTGGAGACGAGGTTAGTGGTTTAAATTCTAGCTACAACATATATATTTAAAAGTCTTTGATAAGGCATTGGGGCTCTTTGAATTCTATAATTATTTTTAATTTTATTTATTTCTATAAATTCAACAGCTCCTTTGATATCTATAATTATTTTTAATTTTGTTTATTTCTATAAATTCTATAATTATTTTATATTATTTTATATTAATTTAATTTTTATATATTTTTATATTTGTAAATTACATAATTACAAATGATTAATAATATAAATTTTTAATCAAAATTGTGTCTAATTTTGCCTTTTTTTTCTTTAAAACTTAAAAACAATTTAAAAAAAATAAAAATTTTCAAAACCGGACCGGCCCGATGTCCGGCCCGCTTAGACCCGGGCCCGGGCCTGATTTTTCGGGCCGGGCCAGACCGGGCCGGATGGACACCCCTAATACAAATAGACAAAAGTTATAGAGTTTGCATAAAAATTGTCTTTCCGTTAGTAGATTTACAACTTGCAAATTTTGATTAGACATTTGATGAATGACAGTTTTCTCAAACTTTAAAATCAACAAAAGTTGTATATGGCACGTGTGAAGCTGCTAGTAGAAAAGAAAAATAAAGCTTTCTTAGATTAGATGTGAAGACAAATGACTGATGTAATAATTTTTTGTTAAATTTCATGAAAACACCAAAATTTGGGGTGTTCCCATGAAACCCTACTGAAAGATATGTGGGTGCTTCGGTGCTTCCCCCTTCAAACCCAAACCTTTTCCTACGAAACTTTCAAAACGCCAAATGACTCAAACTTTCCCTAAAAATTTTAAACCTTTCCCCACCAAAAATCCAGAAAAATTATTTCTTGCAGTTTGAGGATCATATTATACGTCTAATTCCAGAAAATTTTACTACTTTTTGTGATGTTGGGCCACAGAGACTCCAGGAACCGAGACTAAGTTACCAATGGGCCAAAGGTTTAACTGAAGCGGGCCAATTTCATCGACCAGTTTTATAAATGCCAAGTACAAATGGCAGATAATAATAACAAATTTCATCGGACGATGAAGCAAATATATATATTTTTATGAGCAGGATTGGATACACAAGTAACACGTACAAGTTTGGCAAATTGTTAATATACTAGCATTTGACATATTACTAATGCCTAAGCAATACCCCTTACCACAAAGAAAAAGCCAATAACGGTTATCAATATCAACAGTCACAAAATACAACAAGCAATATACATTACTAGATTTTATGAGATTTTTTTTTTAAAATGTGAGCTACGGATATTTTCATATAGAAAGAAAAATAAAATTGTAGTAGTTAATCCGTTGTAATTGGATAGCATGATACTCCACGAAAGAGGGTCTACGCATAAACATGTTTGTCTTTACATGACAGATGTACATATGGCTTGAGATAAATTATAAAGATGTGTGCTTTAATGTTTTTCCAATGATATATAGATTAACAACCTTAAATGAAAAAAAGCAAACTTAATCTATGGTAAATACATTCAATAAAACAAGTTTAAAATTAGGATTAATTGCACCTTTATTAAAAATATAATTGCAGCATCTACTATTTTTGGTGCACTGAAGTTTTATTTTGACAATTTAATAATGGAAAGCGCATGAATATCAACAGGGGCGGACCCATGCCTGTTCAAACTGGTTCAGTTGAACCACCTCATATTTATAAGTTTTCTATATATATTATACATATCTGTTAGTAAACGTAAGTGACTTGTAGCCCAGCGGTACTAGTGTTGCCTCTATGTTCTAAGAGGTCACATGTTCGAAACTCCCAAAGCTTTCTTAGTTTGCTATTACCAACCAAGTTCTCTACTTTATTTTCTTTCTTTTTTTGCCTCCACCTTATTTTTTGCTTCTTTTCCTTTCAATGTATCCATTTATGAAGATAAGCCAAATAATTGTTTTTATATATCTACTTTTCTCCTATTTTCTTTATTTTTGCTTCTCTAAAAATAGTTTTTTGCTTTCTTACTAATTTTTTTTACGTCTCCAATAGTAGTACTTGAAAAAATAAAATTTGAACCACCACATGATAGGGCGTGGATCCGCCACTGAATATCAACATAGAAAAGTGAGTGGCAAACTCATTTTCTTACCACATTTTCAGTTCTTCTTGTTTAGTGAAAAATGAACAATAAAGTTAAAGAGTTTTGGTTACGATATTGAAAAATTAACTTTGATTTGAAATTTTGTTATCAGATTGTTAAAGTAAACTTTTGGGTGTCAATGTTAAGAAGGATGA